GGAAATAAAGGGGGGCACTTACTTGAAATCAGTTTTGTCACCCCCCCAAAAAAAAACCCCGGGATGATAAGCCTGTTAGAATTCCTGATCTATGATTGCAGTCATATGATTGTTGTCTCCCACATGACGGTATATGTTCTGACTCCACAGAGTGGGAACTGATGGAGACAGGATGTTTGTGTTACTGTGTTCCGTCAAGTGGGACTATTGTCCTTTGTTCTTTTTCTCTTTGCTGTCTGATGCTAGAGAGAGAGGAGCCATGTTGTAGTGCTCTGTGTGTGATTATATGTAAATAAAGTAGATTAGCCAACATGCTGAGTTGCTGAGGTCTGTCACACAATGCTGTGCAAACTCTGCGGATCCCTAAGTGTGCCAGTGGCGGTTGGCATCGGTCACTGTGATGTTCGGGCTGTAGAAAGCTTATGAAGCTCCTGAACGATCGACCAGGAGGGAGAAAACATGCCAGTCGGGCATGTGTCTCTGCCAGGGTCCTACTCGAGTGTAGGCTGAACTCCTGACAGAGCCCAGCCACCTTTTATTCACAGTCACATAAGCACTACACTACAGCATGGCCATAAGTGTGTACGTTCAACCCCTGAAATACACAGCCAATATGTAGCAATGGAGATTTATGTTACTGCTTTATGAATGAACACTGTGTTTTATTAATGGACTCTGTATTTTTGGAATTACCTAAGAGCCACCAATAGGGAGCTCTAGAATCTGAAAGCTACCAATCAGGTACTACCAAACAGCGACCCCTATTGCTGAAAGCAGGTAACCAGCAGGAAACACTTCAGGTCAGCCTTTGCACTGTTGACTGAACACCCCCTGCTGTGCAGATAATGGAGAAAGCTCGCAAATTGTATCCCTTCTGCCATCCTGGCCAACTCTATTACACTGGGGTAAACCCTGGTGCACCAGAAGCCCAGAATAGCAGCAAATAAAATCCACTCATACGTCAGTGACTGATAAGACTTGTCAACCAGTTCCTCCAAAGTCTTCCTAAATTATAAAGCTCCAAAATACTGGCCAAAAGAGAGTAGGTCTGGGAAGAGCAAGCCATACAATGGGCACCACCAGTGAAAAGGCCCGGCTCCGTGTAGCTCCTGCCCTGCCATTTGATAGGGTGCCCACTTGCCCTACTTCTTGACATGGAATGCTCTCTATTGGAGTCTCCAGGTCCAGTATAAAGACCATAAGAAGGGAGAGCACGAACCTTGAAGTTCCCAACGGCTGTTAATCAAGCAAGCAAGCAAGCAAGCAAGCACACAGGTCACCTTTGTCACAGTCAGGACACCTATGTCCTGGCCAGGCCTGCTCACAATCTTGTTTTTGTACAACCTTGTTTGTTCTCAGTAACCAAAATTATATTATCAACATATACAAGCAGAAAAGTTGTTTTCCTTCATTTGCAAGGAAACGTACAAAACAAAGTGGCACTAATAAAGAAAAGTTCCAGGGTGGCAACAGAAAGCAAACTAAAAACACTTTTGCAGTTCATCCGAACTGTCCAGCAATAACAAGTTATAGTAAAACTGGTGCTATTAACAGTAACCCTTCTAGTTGGTTAATTGATTTGGCAACTTCCATGCACATGACGTCTGATGCTAATCCCCCCCCCCCGAGAGTTAAATGATAACTCATCAGAGGCAGTTACAGTTGCAAATGGAAACAAAATATTTGTGAAAGGAAGAGGAGCATGTTTGCTCAAGTGTGTTGCAGGTAGAAATACCGTTTGTAATGAAGTGAGAGCAGTAGTTTACTTGCTCGAATTCACAATAAGAAAGTTTTGAGATTTTATATGCTAGATTAAAATTGATTAATTCATTGAGAAGGGGATTGTAAGAAAAACACTGGGGCCTAATTTGAATAGTAGAGTACCTGGTATCTTGTGGGCAATCTCCTCCTTTTTTTCCACACTGTGACTGCAGACCAAATCACCTGTCAGGAGAGCTATGAGATTCAGATGAGGGTCAGATGCCTTATCAATCCCAGCAGGTATATAACAGGAAGACCATACTTTGAAAGTGACAAACTTAAACAAATTTTGATGAAGTTTTGGATGATTTTGCTATGAGGAAGTTAGGGAAAAAAACATTTTAGCTTTACTGTATTTGATGGTTGTAGTTTACTTCTTAATATCTATTTTAAAAATGACTTTCTAATGACAACATAAAGTGGATTCTAAAAGTGCCACACTGTCAGGTAATAATATAATATTATTTACGCTTCCACGGCAACATAATTTGTAAACTCAAGGTGTTTTTTTGAGGAATAACATTGCAACTTCATTTCCCTAAAAAAATAATGCCTATTCCACAAAAGGTTTACAAAGTTCACTTATTGCAAAAGTTTTTCAGGGTTAATATTATGCATTTTTAAAATCACCATGGTATTTAACAATAACATCTTATGTCCTTTAGAGGAGAAATTGTGAATTGCAGAATTTTAAATACCCAGCATCATCCATGGCTTCACTCAGTTTTGTTTACAACACTCTTCCATTTTATTCTAGTCATGAGGGGGGAGGGAAGGGAGGGGCCTCACAAGTGGAATAGCATAGGGCCTCTCTAAATCTGGCCCTGGCCCCAGGATCTAATTTTACCTAATTTTTCTCAAGCTAATGTTGTTGGGGGCAGTGCAGATGCATTATTATAATCATTATCAGAATTTAAATCATATTGATCTTTCCCCTAAATCTTCCAAGCCCCCCCCCCTTTTGTGGGGAAGGGGGTTCCCACTGTGGAGGCATCAGCATTGTTATAAACTTTTTTCCAGATGATTCACAAGTTGTCTTGGGGGCAATACAAAAGTATCATCAAGATCAGCAGCAGCAGCTTTGTCATCATATTTCCCCCCAATTATTTTTTTTGGGCGGGGGAGGGCATGTATTTCAGAAGCACAGCACCACCTTTTCCTCCAGCGGGAATTGTTCCCAAGTTGTTTGGGGGGGGAATCACAGTGCAAACCCAGAAATATTATTGTTGTCGACTCACCCCCCCCCATCTCGACATAATCATATTTGTTTAAGTGAAGGAAGAGGGCCGCAAATAACTATAAATCCACACCTGCACTTACCTAGGAGTTAAAAAGTAAAGGTGAAGGTACCCCTGACCGTTATGTCCAGTTGTGGATGACTCTGGGGTTGCGGTGCTCATCTCGCTCTATAGGCCAAGGGAGCCAGTGTTTGTCCACAGACAGCTTCCGGGTCATGTGGCCCGCATGACTAAGCCGTTTCTGGCGCCATTTACCTTCCCGCTGGAGTGGTACCTATTTATCTACTTGCACTTGACATGCTTTCAAACTGCTAGGTGGGCAGGAGCAGGGACCGAGCAACAGGAGCTCACCTGATCGTGGGGATTCAAACCGCCGACCTTCTGATCGGCAAGCCCTAGGCTCTGTTTTTTAGACCACAGCGCCACCCATTAGAATCTAAAAAGCTGCTGATAGCTGAGATAGGCATGTCCATCACTTTCATTATGATATGTACCAAATTTTGCAAGTAGTGATATCAAGCAAAGACAACAGATACACACTGAAATGCATATATGACTGATTTATTCAGATTCTCTTACATGAAAGGAATTTGGGTGGGATTTGTAAAGCTCAGGGACAGGGTTTGGAGGGATCATCCAGTTTATAGAACTCATATTCACATTTGTTTGGATTGAACAGTGCTTTACATCCCTGACGTTCGACAAGACCAGAGTGCCTAAAAAGAAGAAGAAGAATGTGTAAACTAAGGTTTCCCTGAGCTTATGGAGATCTTGTAGAGGAGCGCTCCTTTCTCCTGCTCACTTAGGACATGCCAAGAATGATTGGAACTGCCTGGCAGAAAAGCAGTTTTGCAAGATGTTTGCTCCATCCAGGGAAAACCAAGCCCTTGGAAAACATTTGCCCTGAGGCCAAATTCACCTGGGGAACCCAAGCTGAATGCACAAAGGACATGTCTTGCACAGTATGCCATTGCATGTTGCTGTACGATGACCTGCTCCCCCCCCACTATGTTTGCAGTGCTTGAGGGCAGCACCCATGCACAAAAATGGGTGTAGCAAAATGTTGGTGCGAAACCAGGAGGCCAGCCAGGAGGGAGACAGAAGGAGACAGGAAGGTGCAGGAAAGAGGAGGGGTCCTGTTCCATTGGGTGCATCGGGGTCCCTCTCCCCAGCACCAACTCCTAGGTGGTCTCTGGATGAGAGGATCTGGGACTCAGGGAGATCCCAAAGTCCAAGCTTCCACGCAGCGAATGCCTGGTCATCGGATAATTGGAAAGGCACTCTGGACATGCAACCAATCAGATGTAAAGATTAATTGGGTCACCCGTCTTCAGCTCATTCCGTCCATGAATTATAATTGAGCAGAAGGTCTTCCAGAGAGAACGGGGCAAAATAATTTGAAAGAGATTTATAGACCCAGTGCCATTTTGGGTATTTGGCCTACCTGGGACAGCACAGCGTTCCCTTTTCACTACATACGCATTTCATGCAATTCGTTGTATTCCACTTGGAGTAGAATGCATGCTTGCTCCCATTAATGGGATCAGTACACTCAGTGGGCAGCACCGGCTTACCTAGGGAGAGAGATCCCATACATTTAACATCAGCCCCCAAACAGCTCGTGAAATCAGAAGCTGCTGCTCAGCACAATGCAGAGACTGTGGAAGAGAAGCACAGTGGCTGCAACTTGTCCACTTGTCCAGCTCCTCCTGTGCTTCTGACAGCAGCCAGATGAGACGGGAGCAGCGTCAGGTCATTTTAGACTCTGAACAGCATCACAACATCCAGGGAAGTGTAGAATTTAAAGGTAGCTGCACTTTGGTCTGTGTTCTGGTTCTGCAAGAGCAGATTTGGTAGGTGTATGCTAAAAAATCTCTAGTCAGGAACACATTTCCCAAACATTAAATACTGATTTGGCTAAATGAATAGGCTGCTTGACAACATCATTTGTTGTTGTTGCTGCTGCTGCTGCTGTTGTTGCTGCTGCTGTTATTAACTTACCATCTTTAATCTCTTCTTTGGGCTCGCGAAATATGCAGGTTCCCTGATACAAGGCAAGTGTCAAAGACAAGGCAGTCAGGCTCAAGAGGATTTTCTGTAAAAGAGACACACACATGCACAAATCATTCAAGATGGTGTTATCATATTTATAGCCTCTCTTGCTGTTAAAAAATGCATTGTATGTGACTAAATTTTAGTCAGAGCAGAGCCAATGAAATTAATGTGCCTACGTTAGTCTAAGGCACAGAGCCTAGGGCTTGCCGATCAAAAGGTTGGCGGTTCGAATCCCCGCGACGGGGTGAGCTCCCGTTGCTTGGTCCCTGCTCCTGCCAACCTAGCAGTTCGAAAGCACGTCAAAGTGCAAGTAGATAAATAGGTACCGCTCCAGCGGGAAGGTAAACGGCATTTCTGTGCGCTGCTCTGGTTCGCCAGAAGCGGCTTAGTGATGCTGGCCACATGACCCGGAAGCTGTACACCAGCTCCCTTGGCCAATAAAGCAAGATGAGCACCGCAACCCCAGAGTCGGTCACAACTGGACCTAATGGTCAGGGGTCCCTTTACCCTTTTAGTTAGTCTTGTCCATCAATTTCAATGGATCTACTCTGGGTATGATTCGCACTGGATTCAACCCAAGGCCTTTGAAAAATTCCCTCTACATTAAGCTTATACACTTCAGTAGCTGAGTTGGGTCATTTTATACTTAGTGGGATTTTTTATAAAGTAAACTGCCCTCCCCCACAAATCCCATAGCATTCAATTCCTCAGAAACATCAATTTTGTTTATATATCTGTTCTCAAAGTCCATCAGTTTTGGATTCTGAGCCACAGCAAAGAGAGGAGCGTTCAGAGATCAATGACTATTTACATTAACGCACAGGGTGATACTCAGGTTGGCCAAGAAAATGCCTTTGGCCAATTCCCCCGGCCAATTTCCTGACAAATGCAGGAAAGAAAACAGTCAGAGGGAAGCTCAGGCTATGTGGTTTGTACCCTGAAGTTGTTGCTGTGAGAGTTCCAACTGTAGGTCATTGTAATGAGTTCTAAGTAATTAACCTGAGCAGCGGGGTTGCACTGGAATTTATATAAAAAAAGTTTCACTACCCCAGCTAAAGATAACTAAATAATGTTGTGAGCACTGGTCTGAATGGGGGTCTGGATAGAGAGAAGGCATAACCTCCAAATGCTCTGATTTTCCAGGGACAGTTCCAGAATTACAAAAGCCATCCTGGCTTTGGATTTGATCCCCAAATGTGAGCTCTAAAGCTATAAAGCAGGGTCAGCCACCTTTTTCAGCCGTGGGTCAGCCCACCGTCCCTCAGAGCAAGTGGTGGGCTGGACTATATTTTGGGGGGGGGAAATATGAATGAATTACTATGCCCTACAAATAACCCAGAGTTGCATTTTAAATAAAAGGAAACATTCTACTCATGTAAATACACACTTATTCCCAGATCGTCCGCAGGCCGGATTGAGAAGGCAATTGGTTGCCTACCCCTGCTAAAAAAGCACAGATTGTGCCTGGAAAAAGCAGAGGAAAAGTAAATGTGGATAAGCCTTCAGATAAGCCTGGAGTCTGAGAAAGCCTCAGCAACTGAGATACTCAATCCTCATGATTCTGAATGTCTTTGCACACCCCCTCTCCACACCTCAAATCTCCCTTTCCACCATTTAAACCTAATCTAGATTAAAGAAAAGCTTGTGCGCCAACTATCCCCAAAGCATTCCACTTACCATCTTGGTTTTTCAATGAGTTGCTGGCAAACTCTTATTGGGGCGTGCAGGAAAGAGCTCTGGTGTCCCTCCTGTAAGTCTGTGGAGTATCCCATGCCCCCTTTTATACAAATGGGAAGGAGGAGGCAAAATGAGAGGGATGGAGGTCCTAACGGGGGAAGGAAATGCTTGCCAGGAAGGAAACATTTGCTTCTGATGACATAAATGTTTACAAGAACAGCCTGGAGAGTTCTACGTCTTCCAGAGATATTCATTGATAAGTGCAGTTCAGAACCAGAACCGGGAACAGGAAAATCATGTTAAATGTTATTAGACCAGGATAGTGTTGAGTTCTGCAAGAAATATGGCTCTAGATATTTGTCTTTACAGCCTTACCTCAAGAAGGATACTGTCAAAAAAGGCCAGCAAAATGAACAAGGGGGTGGAGCAAAGTGGAGAAAGTAAAGTTTTTATCTCTCATAAGAGTAGAACTTGTGGACATCTCCTGCGCTGCCAGGAGAGAGTTGGACAGGTAAGGGGAGGGACTGACCAGCCCACACAACAGTGGGCAGAACTTGCCTGGGAGTTCTCAGTCGGCTCCAGAGCTTCTCCCACCCTGCCCTCCCTCAGTTAAGCCTTCTTTTGCAGGTTAACCTCTTCTCCACAGGTACGCAGGTGCCGCTACGTTATGGTCGCTGTTGAAGGGCTGGAAAGGAATTTTCCTGCATTGGCAGATTTTGCCTTCCCCATAGCAAAACGTCACAACTTTGGCGGTTTCAGGCCTTGGGCAGAATCCTTTAGTCTGTCTTTCCTAAATGGGGGGGGGAGCGGTGACCCCCCCCACTGCGCCGATTCCAGGGTTCTCCATTAAAGGGGTTGTTTTGAGGGGAGGCATTGGTCATACGCTGTTAGGTTGTCATTGCTCTCCTCCTGCGACGGTGGCGAAATGGGGGGCGGACTGTCTGCTTAAACAGACGTTCTCCAGAGCCAGCCCAATCCCCACATATTCTGGATAACCCTGATGTTCCCCAGATCCCTGGCCAGGGACTGGGAGGGATAAACACCCAATGCCTAAGCCAAGGTCTCCCTACAGCTGAAGTTTTAATAAACTTGCCTGGGAAGAGGGATTGATTGTTAAACTACTCTCACTGAGAGGAATTGACACTACTTGTAAAAAGGTAAAGGACCCCTGACAGTTAAGTCCAGTCGCGAACGACTCTGGCTTTGCTGGCCGACGGAGCTGACGTTTGTCCGCAAACAGTTTTTCCGCAAACAGTCTGACATGACTTATTTTTCAGAAATCCATGCTGACTATTGGTGATCACAGCATTCCTTTCTAGGTGCTCACAGACTGTTTGCTTAACGATCTGCTCCAGAATCTTCCCTGGTATTGATGTCAGACTGACTGGGCGATAATTATTTGGTTCCTCTCTTTCCCCCTTTTTGAAAATAGGGACAACATTTGCCCTCCTCCAGTCTGCCGGGACTTCGCCTGTTCTCCAGGAATTCTCAAAGATGACTGCCAGTGGTTCTGAGATCACATCTGCCAGTTCTTTTAATACTCTTGGATGCAGTTCATCTGGCCCTGGAGACTTGAATACATCTAATCAAGTACAAGTATTCTTGTACTATCTCCTTAGTTATTCTGGGCTGTGTTTCCTCTGCTGAATCATTTGCTCCAAATTCTTCAGGTCGGGCATTGTTTTCTTTATCGGAGAAGACTGAGGCAAAGAAGGCATTGAGGAGTTCAGCCCCTTCTGTGTCCCCTGTTTGCATTTCACCATCTTCTCCTCTGAGTGACCCCACTGTTTCTTTGTTCTTCCTTTTGCTACGGACATACCCATAAAAGCCTTTTTTGTTGCTTTTAACCTCTCTAGCAAGCCTGAGTTCATTCTGTGCTTTAGCCTTTCTGACTTTGTGTCTACATGTGCCGGCTATTCGTTTGAATTCCTCTTTGGTGGTTTCCCCCACTTTTCCATTTTTTGTACACATCCTTTTTTAATCTTAACTCAGTTAAAAGTTCTTTAGATAGCCACCCTGGCTTCTTTAGGCACCTTCCATGTTTCTGTCTCATTGGTATTGCCTGAAGTTGTGCTTTTACTATCTCCCTCTTAACAAACTCCCAGCCATGAACTCCCTTTCCTTTTAGTATTACTGTCCATGGGATCTCACCCAGCACTTCCCTAAGTTTTATGAAGTTGGCTTTCTTAAAGTCAAGAAATTGAGTCCTACTATGCTTGGCTGCTCCTTTCCGCTGTATAGTAAACTTCAGAAGAGCATGATCACTCGTGCCTAATGATCCTTCCACTTCTACCCCACTAACCAGGTCATCAACATTGGTTAGGATCAGATCTAAAATGGCTGTTCCTCTTGTTGCTTCTCCCACTTTCTGGACAATGAAGTTGTCTCCAAGGCCAGTGAGGAATCTGTTTGACCTTATGCTCTTGGCTGAGTTTGACATCCAACAAATATCTGGTTAATTGAAGTCCCCCATTACTACTATCTCCCTTCCTTTTGCATGCTTGGCCATCTGTTCCAGGAAGGCATCATCTATGTCCTCCGTTTGGCTTGGGGATCTATAGTAAACTCCCACAATGAGGTCTCTGTTATTCTTCTCTCCCTTAATTTTGACCCAAATGCTCTCACTTTGCCTTTGAGGTTCTAAATCTTGGATCTCTTCACAGGTATACACATCCCTGACATATAACGCCACTCCTCCTCCTTTCTTGAGAGGTAGTTTTCTTTTTTCTTTTCTTTTTCTCTTCCTGTTTTTAGTATGTATTTTGTGTTTTTAATTTCGTATTTTTATGCTGCCAACCACCCTGAGATCTTTGGGTGGAGGGCAGTATACAAATATAATAAAAATAAATGTTAAAAGGTGAGTCTCTAACCCTTCTAGGCAGAAGGTTATGATGCACAATGTGCATGTTCTAAGCAACTTCTGTCAAAGGAGCCAGCCTGGCCACTCCTGTCTGTCAGGGGATTCAGCCAAGTCAGAATTGTGATTGGTAAGTGACTTGTATCGGATCCAATACAAAAAAAAAGTCACAATAATTTTAAAATAAACAGTGTATATCAAATTGAGCAATATTTAATAATCCATTAGAATCTAAAAAGCTGCTGATAGCTGAGATAGGCATGTCCATCACTTTCATTATGATATGTACCAAATTTTGCAAGTAGTGATATCAAGCAAAGACAACAGATACACACTGAAATGCATATATGACTGATTTATTCAGATTCTCTAACATGAAAGGAATTTGGGTGAGATTGGTAAAGCTCAGGGACAGGGTTTGGAGGGATCATCCAGTTTATAGAACTCATATTCACATTTGTTTGGATTGAACAGTGCTTTACATCCCTGACGTTCGACAAGACCAGAGTGCCTAAAAAGAAGAAGAAGAATGTGTAAACTAAGGTTTCCCTGAGCTTATGGAGATCTTGTAGAGGAGCGCTCCTTTCTCCTGCTCACTTAGGACATGCCAAGAATGATTGGAACTGCCTGGCAGAAAAGCAGTTTTGCAAGATGTTTGCTCCATCCAGGGAAAACCAAGCCCTTGGAACACATTTGGCCCGAGGCCAAATTCACCTGGGGAACCCAAGCTGAATGCACAAAGGACATGTCTTGCACAATATGCCATTGCATGTTGCTGTACGATGACCTCCTCCCCCCTCCACTATGTTTGCAGTGGTTGAGGGCAGCACCCATGCACAAAAATGGGTGAAGCAAAATGTTGGTGCGAAACCAAGAGGCCAGCCAGGAGGGAGACAGAAGGAGACAGGAAGGTGCAGGAAAGAGGAGGGGTCCTGTTCCATTGGGTGCACTGGGGTCCCTCTCCCCAGCACCAACTCCTAGGTGGTCTCCGGATGAGAGGATCTGGGACTCAGGGAGATCCCAAAGTCCAAGCTTCCACGCAGCGCATGCCTGGTCATCGGATAATTGGAAAGGCACTCTGGACATGCAACCTATCAGATGTAAAGATTAATTGGGACACCCGTCTTCAGCTCATTCCGTCCATGAGTTTTAATTGAGCAGAAGGTCTTCCAGAGAGAACGAGGCAAAATAATTTGAAAGAGATTTATACATCCAGTGCCATTCTGGGTATTTGGCCTACCTGGAACAACACAGCGCTCCCTCTTCACTACATACACATTTCATGCAATTCGTTGTATTCCACTTGGAGAGGAATGGATGCTTGCTCCCATTAATGGGATCAGTACACTCAGTGGGCAGCACCGGCTTACCTAGGGAGAGAAATCCCATACATTTAACATCAGACCCCAAACAGCTCGTGAAATCAGAAGCTGCTGCTCAGCACAATGCAGAGACTGCGCAAGAGAAGCACAGTGGCTGCAACTTGTCCACTTGTCCAGCTCCTCCTGTGCTTCTGACAGCAGCCAGATGAGACAGGAGCAGCGTCAGGTCATTTTAGACTCTGAACAGCATCACAACATCCAGGGAAATGTAGAATTTAAAGGTAGCTGCATTTTGGTCTGTGTTCTGGTTCTGCAAGAGCAGATTTGGTAGGTGTATGCTAAAAAATCTCTAGTCAGGAACACATTTCCCAAACATTAAATACTGATTTGGCTAAATGAATAGGCTGCTTGACAACATCATTTGTTGCTGCTGCTGCTGCTGCTGCTGCTGCTGCTGCTGTTATTAACTTACCATCTTTAATCTCTTCTTTGGGCTCGAGAAATATGCAGGGTCCCTGACACAAGGCAAGGGTCAAAGAGAAGGCAGTCAGGCTCAAGAGGATTTTCTGTAAAAGAGACACACACATGCACAAATCATTCAAGATGGTGTTATCATATTTATAGCCTCTCTTGCTGTTAAAAAATGCATTGTATGTGACTAAATTTTAGTCAGAGCAGAGCCAATGAAATTAATGTGCCTAAGTTAGTCTAAAGCACAGAGCCTAGGGCTTGCCGATCAAAAGGTTGGCGGTTCGAATCCCCGCAACAGGGTGAGCTCCCGTTGCTTGGTCCCTGCTCCTGCCAACCTAGCAGTTCGAAAGCACGTCAAAGTGCAAGTAGATAAATAGGTACCGCTCTGGCGGGAAGGTAAACGGCATTTCTGTGCGCTGCTCTGGTTCGCCAGAAGCGGCTTAGTCATGCTGGCCACATGACCCGGAAGCTGTACGCCAGCTCCCTCGGCCAATAAAGCGAGATGAGCACCGCAACCCCAGAGTCGGTCACAACTTTTTTAAAAAATAAATATTTATTAAAGTTTAACAAATACAAAGAAACGGAGAACAAACAATAAAAAGTTACAATAAAAAAGAAAGAAAAAATATAGAAAAAGAGAAGCAAAAACAGCAAAAAGACAAAAACATTTTAAAAGCACAAACATTTAAAAAGAAAAAAGATAAAACCCATGTTTCCATATCCTTATTTTACATTTGCTTATTTCCTTGACTTCCTCAAACCTCCCTCTTTGCATTCCAGTTCAGTTAATTATTTCAGCAAGTCCTTTCCCTTTTTCTCCAATTTAAATCCAAACTTTTTCTTAACGCAATTTAGCCTTAAATTTTACACTTTAACCATACTCGATCTATTTCTTACTTAATTCTTAGTAACATTTCTACTAAAGCCCAATACGTTCTTTCCAACAACCTCCTAGCATTCATTAATTTTACAATATTTCTGTAAATATACTTTGAATTTTTTCCAATCTTCTTCCACCGACTCTTCTCCCTGGTCTCGAATTCTGCCGGTCATTTCCGCCAACTCCATATAGTCTATCAGCTTCGTCTGCCATTCTTCCCGGGTAGGTAGATCTTGTGTCTTCCAATACTTTGCAATAAGTATTCTTGCTGCTGTTGTAGCATACATAAAAAAAGTTCTGTCCTTCTTTAACACCAATTGGCCGACCATGCCCAGAAGAAAGGCCTCTGGTTTCTTCAGAAAGGTATATTTAAATACCTTTTTCATTTCATTATATATCATCTCCCAAAAAGCCTTAATCCTTGGGCACGTCCACCAAAGGTGAAAGAATGTACCTTCAGTTTCTTTACATTTCCAACACTTATTATCGGGCAAATGATAAATCTTTGCAAGCTTGACTGGTGTCATGTACCACCTGTATATCATTTTCATAATATTCTCTCTTAAGGCATTACATGCCGTGAATTTCATACCAGTGGTCCACAACTGTTCCCAGTCAGCAAACATAATGTTATGTCCAACATCTTGTGCCCATTTAATCATAGCAGATTTAACCGTTTCATCCTGCGTATTCCATTTTAACAGCAAGTTATACATTCTTGAAAGTATCTTAGTTTTAGGATCTAACAACTCTGTTTCCAATTTTGATTTTTCCACCTGGAAGCCAATTTTTTTGTCCAAATTGTAGGCTTCTCTTATTTGATAATAATGAAGCCAGTCTCGCACTTTATCTTTCAATATCTCAAAACTCTGCAATTTCAATTTATCTCCTTCTTGTTCCAGAATTTCCCAATATTTCGGCCATTTGTAAAAGGACTTCCGGGTAAAAGGACTTCGGCCATTTGAGGACTTCCGGGTTAGCGCCATCGCCGAATGGCGGATTCCCTCCGAGCTCCGGAGGGAATCTGCTCAGCAGGGGTCGGGTCCTGCCGCGCCGGCGACGCGGGGACCCTCAAAAACCACGGGCGCGAAAGCCCATGGACCTGGTGACTCGGCGGGCACCATTAGCGCCCTTCCCGACCCGCGAAGGAGCCTTTTTAAAGGCTACGGAACGGGGGACGGGGAGCGGCGCGGTGCTGAGAGTCCTCTGCTTCCCCTGCTGAGCGAAGCCGCAAGCCATTCGACGGAGAGCGCTGACTTCTTCTTCTGAACATTTGGATTAAAAATAACAACCCGTGAGTAATACGGTAATCGGACTTAAAAGGGAAATTTTTCTTGAATTTGGTACGAGCGGGGGAGGTGCAAAGAGGAAGTCCGTCTCCCCCCATTGTAAACAATTTAAAGCAAGGATTTGACAACTAAGGTCGAGAGAAGAGCCTTTTTTTTATTGGGTAAAAGTTATTAATTCCAAGAGTGGAAATTACAAGTAATTGTGCTGGAGGATAAGAGTGGACTGAGAGTTAAAGTGCAACACCCCCCCCCCGGAACCGGGAGTAATCCGTGAGAGAGCCTGGTGAAGAGATACAGAGATTTTGACAGCTGTCAAAGTAGCTGTCAAAGTTGGAGAATAAAAAGAGAACTTTGTTTTTGTGACTTTGCTGGTTAGATTTGTTACAATTCGGATATAAATTGTTGAAAACAAGGAATAACAAGTTAGTTTGACTTTTGGTTTGGATCTGGAAGGAAACTAAGTAACCATAATCCCTCTAGAGGGGGTTTTGGGACATTACAAGAATGGCTGTAAGTGGAAAAATACTGATGGAGTTGAACAGGACTTTTTATCTCCTGGGAAAGCTTCAAGAACAGAGTACTGTTTTGTCTACAGGAGTATCTACACTGAAGGAGACAATAGACATATCTATTGAAAATGGAAGGGACTTGACGCAAGTTTTGGTTCCTGAACAAAAAGCCCCTGTAGCGAAATTGGAAGTACTTACAGCTGAACAGGAAAAGAAACTTGAGAAAAGTGATGGAAGGGAACAGGAGATCTATGATGATCTGGAAGGGAATGAAGGAGGAGTTACAACACCGCAGAAGACCAAGGAAGGCCAAGGGCCTGTTAGGAAGGACATAAAGGAAAACAGGAATTAGATCATGAAAATTTGGCTTGAATTGGACAAGGAAGATTGGAGAGATCTCCTGATGTGGAGATCTGACGACCTACGGAGTACAAATTTGAGCAAGATGGAAGTTGGAGCATTTGGGACATTCAGACTTAAAAGGATTAAGAAACAAGATTGGAGCTCTACTTTTAAATATAGAGGCCTGGATGTAAGAAAAATGGACATTTTTGAGACAGAGCTTCTACGAGATTTGGTGTCTGATATAAAAGACTATCAAAAAAAACCGGCAAAGAGGAGCTGAGAGAGAATTAAGAGCCTCGGATGTGAGGTCTCCAGGCTGATACCAGATAGACTGATGGATTTTGGGGATTGAAACCGGGAAAGGGGGGAGGAAAATTGGGAATCCAAAGGGTGTACAATTATATTTTGAATTTTTCTTCTTTTTTATTTTGTTTTGATGTGAGTATAAAAAAGGGGAATTCGTGGAAGGGAACTGGGGTCGACCTTAGAAAAAAGATGTTAATGTTTAAAGACTGTGGAATATAAAGGGAAAGAGGTTATATAAAATGAACTAAATTGAATAATGGGTCAAATACAATAAGGTCAAGACTTGGGATAAGAACTTGTTGAACTAAACAAATGGAAATGGAATACAAGAAGGGGAGGGGTGGGGAAGTCCTGGAAAGATGTTACTGAAAGTAAGGTCTTAAATGTAAATGTTTTCTTTTTTTCTTTTTTCTTTTTTTTGGATTTTTTTGGAAATTTCAATAAATATGATTTTTAAAAAAATTTATTTCGGCCATTTGGCCTCCATATTGAGCTTTTTCTGAGCTTTCGCTTCCATTGGGGACAACCACCTTGGGGTTTTATTTTCCAATAGGTCTTTATATCTTATCCAAACATTAAACAATGTTTTCCTGACAATATGGTTTTTAATGCTTTATGTACTTTAACCTTGTCGTACCACAAATATGCATGCCACCCAAAAACATTATCAAAACCTTCTAAATCCAGAATGTCTGTGTTCTCAAGAAGCAGCCAATCTTTCAACCAGCAGAATGCTGCTGATTCATAATAAAGTTTAAGGTCTGGCAGGGCAAATCACAAGAGTCGGTCACAACTGGACCTAATGGTCAGGGGTCCCTTTATCCTTTTAGTTAGTCTTGTCCATCAATTTCAATGGATCTACTCTGGGTATGATTCGCACTGGATTCAACCCAAGGCCTTTGAAAAATTCCCTCTACATTAAGCTTATACACTTCAGTAGCTGAGTTGGGTCATTTTATACTTAGTGGGATTTTTTATAAAGTAAACTGCCCTCCCCCACAAATCCCATAGCATTCAATTCCTCAGGAACATCAATTTTGTTTATATATCTGTTCTCAAAGTCCATCAGTTTTGGATTCTGAGCCACAGCAAAGAGAGGAGCGTTAGAGAGAAGGCATAACCTCCAAATGCTCTGATTTTCCAGGGACAGTTCCAGAATTACAAAAGCCATCCTGGCTTTGGATTTGATTCCCAAATGTGAGCTATAAAGCTATAAAGCAGGGTCCAGCCACCTTTTTCAGCCGTGGGTCAGCCCACCGTCCCTCAGAGCATGTGGTGGGCTGGACTATATTTGGGGGGGGGGAAATATGAACGAATTACTATGCCCCTCAAATAACCCAGAGTTGCATTTTAAATAAAAGGACACATTTTACTCATGTAAAAACTCCTGGACTGTCCGGGGGCCGGATTGAGAAGGCGATTGGGCCGCATCCAGTCTTAGGTTGCCTACCCCTGCTGCAAAGCACAGACTGTGCCTGGAAAGAGCAGTGGAAAAGTAAGGGTGGATAAGCCTTCAGATAAGCCTGGAGTCTGAGAAAGCCTCAGCAACTGAGATACTCAATCCTCATGATTCTGAATGCCTTTGCACACCCCCTCTCCACACCTCAAATCTCCCTTTCCACCATTTAAACCTAATCTAGATGAAAGAAAAGCTTGTGTGCCAACCGTCCCCAAAGCATTCCACTTACCATCTTGGTTTTTCAATGAATTGCTGGCAAACTCTTATTGGGGCGTGCAGGAAAGAGCTCTGGTGTCCCTCCTGTAAGTCTGTGGAGTATCCCATGCCCCCTTTTATACAAATGGGAAGGAGGAAGGGCAAAATGAGAGGGATGGAGGTCCTAACGGGGAAGGAAATGCTTGCCAGGAAGGAAACATTTGCTTCTGATGACATAAATGTTTACAAGAACAGCCTGGAGAGTTCTACGTCTTCCGGAGATATTCATTGATAAGTGCAATTCAGAACCAGAACCAGAATTGATAAGTGCAATTCAGAGTCCAGAATTCTTCCTGCTGGGGATGTTAGAAAGCAAAATTCCAAAGAAAGCTTCAGCTGTATTTATGAATGTAACTACAGCGGCAAGGATTCTCTACGTTTAGAAATGGAAGGACACCCTCAAAGGAAGAATGGCTGATGGAAATCCTGGAATATGCAGAGAGGGCAAAACTGAGGCAATGATTAGAGACACAAATTGAGAATCTTTTAAGGAGGACTGCTTAAAGCAGGCATGGCCACACTTGGCCCTCCAGATGTTTTGGGACTAGAGTTCCCACCATCCCTGACGACTGGTCCTGTTAGCTAGGGGTGACCTTTCACACGACTGATCTTGCGCCGCATGCCTGCCGCTCACCAAAGGCGGGAGGAGTGACAGGAAAGAGGGAGAGACAGAAAGAGAACGCGCCTATCTAGCGACGGGAGTGTGCGCAGGCTCCAGAACCTTCCCAAGAAGAACTCGTATATGTGTGCTCACAATGGCCCTCCCAGCTCTTCTAGAAATAAGGTTGCTCCCACAATGAAAGGCTGCCCTAGACGGCTCTCCCACACATGCGCACAATGCCTGCCCATCTCATCTTTCAGACACCTCCCTACGACCGTAAGCGCATGCGTGGAGTCTTTACACTTTACAAGTGTTCTTTGTCTTCTTTAAAAAAGCTGGTTTTAAACAAAAAGCACAAAAAGCCTTACTTTTGGAGCTGCGCAGGCGTGAGCACTATTTATCAAAAGATAATAGTGACACAAGCATAATAAAAATTAATTTGGGGGCTAAACTAAATTTGGGGGCGCTGGGCAGATCTTTGCACCCCAGTGGAGCATATGCTAAAGACGGCCTTATAGCTCAGACTGTAGTCTGTTTAAGAAGTTATTTCCCATACGAGAAGACCATAGTGAAGACCAAAGAGGGTGAAATTGGATAATTGGGTGATAAGCGTCAATGTTGGGTGAGCGGGAAGTCACTAGTTTTGTTGAATTGGAAAATAACAAAATGTAGGAAAACAAATTTATATAGTGAGATAGTCGCCTTTGACTGGACTTAATTGTCCAGGGGTCCTTTACGTGTGTGTGTGTGTGTGTGTGTGTGTGTGTGTGTCCTTTACCTTTGTGTGTGTGTGTGTGTGTGTGTGTGTGTGTGTGTGTATTCAAAGCATCAAATCATCCTTTGCTCATATTAATAGGCTGCTTGAGAATGCTGCCATTTTTTATCTCTGCTTTGAAGGGGCCAAGGAAGCAAAACCCATGGGGCAAAACAATCAGTGGTAGGATGACTTTCTGAAAGAGGCAAAAGAGAAGAAAATCAGCAGATGACTATAACAATTCTGGGTCTATCAAGATCGTGAGATCATTTGTTTGCTCATTTAGCTGTGTTTTTAAATTAAGCCATAAGATTAAGCTGATTGCCATTTTAATGAACTGTGTCAGAAACAAAACCGGCTTCTTTATCTGCTTTTGTAATCAAGGAAACTGATGGGAGTTGCAGTCCAGTGACATCTGGAGGAGGAACTTCAGCTCAGCTGAGATGCACAAAAAGGCATCTCACTCAATGGCAGGGGCAGACTTTAGGAATATGGCGCCCTGAGCGAGGACAAAATTTGGCGCCCCAAAGATTCATTTGGCACCCTTCTGCCTCCCACCTGCCATTCAGCGCATACTCTCAAGTGCAATATGTCATAGCTGCAGCAACTCAATAACCCAGGGTTTAACTTTGAGTAGGTACCTGTAGAAATATAGGTTTTATTATTAATACCTGGATGGGGGAACTGCCTACACCACCCTCATTCTGGCACTGTCAGTGAGCTACCCAAGAAACAAGAGTTGATCTATACTGTGGTTGTGTGTGTTTTTCCAGCGTCAAAGACAGTTTGGGATAATTGGCTAGAGCAGAGGTTTTCAGCCTTTTTGAGTCCATGGCTCCCTTGACCAACTACATTCTTTCTTCAGAGTCCTGTGGTGCTCAGGAGCCCAGTTGTGTCACCTCTTGCCTGCAGAGCCGGTAGCCCCTCCCCGTCCCTTGTGGAGGGTTCCTCAGCCTCCTCTTCTCCCCTCTCCTTGGGAGTCACTGCTGCCACTCCAGGTCTCTGAACTCCCCCGCCCCCGCCCCAGAGAGAGGTGCCTTTTAAAAGGCAAGTCTCTGACACTTCTAGGAAGAAAGTTATGAAGCACAATGTGCATTTTCTAAGCAACTTCTGTTAAATGAGCCAGCCTGGCCACTCCTGTCTGTCAGAGGTTTCAGCCAAGTCAGAATTGTGATTGGTGAGTTGTTTGGACACCAAGGAATAGGAGTCCCCAACATCCTAGCAGGGCCCAATTTCTAATGGTGCAGTTAGAGTAATTGCACCTGACCCTGTGCTAGCATGGGCATGTATGATGAGCTTTCTTTTTAACAAAAGGAAGTCTCTAGCTCTTCTAGAAACAAAGTTTGGACAAATAATGTGCAGGCAACCATCTAAGATGAGAGCTGATAACCCAACGCAAAGCGAGGGCTGAGTCTAATGGTTCTTCTGGTTCTGCAGCACAGAGCACCCACTTCCAGCTACAACTGGCTCTGCTGTTCCTTCCTCCACTCTTTTCTGGAGGGAAGCCCTTGCCTTGGCAGATGTGGTGGGAATAAAACAGAGAGGGACTTTGGGGTGCTGTTAGGGGTACGGGAAGTGCTGTTCACCACCTCTGATTTGGCTGCCCATGAAAGGGCCTTTGAAAAAGCATGAGGGCTCAAAAGTGTCACACCCGCCAGCCTTCCCTTTACTTTGCCACCCATGGAAGGGCTTATGGAAAATGTGGAGGGAAACATTTTCTTGTCGGGGGGGGGTCATTTTGAAAAGGGGGGAGCAGACATGTCAGGGTCTGATTCCCTCCTCCTTGCTTTGCCAGGCAGCTGCTCCAGCCACGGAGGAGTGTTGTTGTTTTTTTTAAGTGTGTGTATAGGGTGAGGCAGGGCACATTGATGCAAGGGGCACATTGATACACCAACAATATTTCAATTTTGAGAAACATTATTCGTGTCGTGACATCACTAAAATGTTTGTATACATGTGTGAGTACAACAGCTGAGACCGCGCCACCCACCAGTTAGCTGTTATCATTCGATGAGAGTAGGTGTGTTTTTAGCGCGGCCAACTAAAAAATTACATGAAATGTAAAAGTGTTCCAATGCTGTTTTACATCGTACATAATAATATAATATGACCGAATTTCAAGTGTCATATCTCAGGGGAAAAACAGGGTCTTGTATGTTTGTCTTCCCCATTCTAGAAGATAAGGCAAGTATTGATTTCAAGGATGTTGTTTTGCAGTTGCCAAAACCAAATTTCTCAAAGGGCACATCTCGATCATCTCTTTATACTTTCTATTGACTTCAGTGGATATAATGTGCAATAGAAACGAAACATTAAGTAATTATCTTATTTCTTATAAGTATTTTGTTTAAATTGCTATTTTTTAACCATCTAATGTGAGTTCTTATACTTTTTAAAGTTTTTTCAAAGTTTTTTTTTAATGAATAGGTGTTTGATGAAAGATTAATATAAGTTTTGATGTTTTGTTAAGAAAACCTGCCATAAAGTCTATGATATGTGTGAAACACTGTTAGTTTTGATATGTTATTTAGATTTTAAGTAATAAATTGTATGGCTGATTATGATCTCTCACAATAAAAATTGTTTTTTTCATTATTTTTTTGTAAATAGTTACCATTACCATAAAATTTACACTTTGTATCAAAGTGCCCCACCTCACCCTATGTATTGCTGGAGGAAGAAGGGCAAAATCCACCCACTTGCCAGTTTTGCTTTGCTGCCTGCCAGCCACATGGAGCTGCAGGCAGGCAGCTCCTTTTTTTATTTAAAAAGTGTGTGTTGGGATGCGGAGCAGTGCAGGAATTGTCTGTTGCTTGTGTTGCTCCTTGAGGGACTTTTTGAAAATGCCGGGGTGGGTTGGAGGCAGAAATAGGGGGATCAACCCATGGCTGCCGTGTTTTTCTTCTTGCCTGCTGACATATGAAGCAGGCAGCTACTTGAGAGGCACCTCAGTGCAATATGAGAGCAAGGGGAGGAGATGGCAATGCTTTTTTGTTTCTGCTGCATGCTGCACAGCAGAGGTTGTTGCAAAGCTGTTGCAGGAGGCCACCTAGTTCAGAGGCCTCATCAGCCCCATGCAGTGCGGGATTTATGAATAGGCTAAGTAGACTGGAGCCTATGGCCTCTAAATCAAGGGCTCCTCGCCAGCCTGCCCGCTCCCCAGCATGCAACCTCCCCTCTCCCAAAATGCAGACCCAAGACTTCATGTGAGGGCAGGGCAACTTGGGCCTCATAATCTAGAGGGCCTCGCCAGCCTGCCATCTCCCTAGTGCCGCAGTCTCCCCTCTCCCAAAATTGCAAACCCAAGACTTCATGCGAGAGCAGGGCAACTCCGGCCCAGCAACTATGAGACTCAGGGCTAGCCAGTGGGGCCCAGTTAGAAGCAGTGGGGTGGGCCCAACTTGAGGTTTCTTTGTTTTGGTAGGGCCCCAGGTCACAGCCAAAGTCTGCAAAATCTTATACATATAAATAAAATCCATCTAGATTGCCCTGGTGCAGGAGCACCCTTAGGAGCAGCCCATGGGGCCCAATTTAGCCAAATTGCTCCAACTGCCTTAAGGTCAGCCCTGATGAGACTGTGCATGGGTTGGATTGACAAACCCTGCACCTTCTAGGTCCCTGGTGTCACTATTCAGAGTACAGACTCAAGGACTTGTTATGGAAATAAAGGGGGGGCACTTACTTGAAATCAGTTTTGTCACCCCCCCCCAAAAAAAAAAACCCGGGATGATGAGCCTGTTAGAATTCCTGATCTAT